TTTTATTCCTCCTTGGATTTGAACCTGAGACCTCCTGGTACTTTTGACCTTTAAAACCAAGCTCAAACCAATCAGACACCACCCTTGTGGTTAAATCTCATTAATGTTAATAGTCACTTAGAATTGATCTAAGGATGAAGATCATTTCTTATCCTTCTGATCATGACTTTCATTATCACCGGATTCCAACCCTCCATTTGAAAGGGTTCTTTAACAAAAACATCGAGCAAAGTAGTATGGGCCTTTGGGTTCAATATATTGGGCTCATGGCAAACATTTAATCGGAATAGATCTCAGCCCAGTTATAAACAAGAGGCCTATCTTCAAAGTTCAAACCAAGTATAGTGGCTCGATTATGGTAAGCTTTTATCTTTCTCAAATTTGCCGCCATAAAGCAAATAATGCTCTCCAGATGCGTCGTGTTTACCAATTTCTTCTGTTTATATGCTCCACCAATTTCATTCAATGCTGGAAATCTATACTCCTGTATGGTATGATGATTGCTTAAAAAAGCCGGAAAACTGATTGTTGTCCTATGGTGTAACGGATTTGATCGGATTTTAGCCTCCAGTAGCCAGAAAGCTATGGTAAGATCATTGTCATTTTTCCAATCCAATAATCGCATCGAATTTTGATGATTGTTCTAGTGTTCGTTTAATCATGAAAAAAAAAAGTTGAAGTTAGTATCCAGATCGAACAATTGCTTGTTTTTAACTGCAGATGATACTGTCGTCTTCCTTTAATGAATCAGGAAGGTTGGAGATATAAGGTACGTGGTTAAATTGTTTGGTTTAAATTTCATGTTTGAAGGTGAATTTCTATATAAGTCAGCTGTGTTTGGCATCAATATGGAGAGTCAGAAGCTGAAATCAACAAATCTAAACTTAACTTACCTTAATATGGAAACACAATGTGAATCAGGGATGTAGTACTAAAGAAGACACCGTCTTAATGCAGCAAAAAACTGCTCGTAAGCATTTGTAAAAAAATCGTATGTAACCAACACATTCCTTAAAAGAATCCAAGTTTTCCATGTGTTTGAAAGTAAATGTTAATACATTTATGTGTCGCCATCCTTGTGTATATGATCCGCAAGTGCAACTGGGTGGGTGATTGCTCTTCAAGCAATGCACATCTGTTAGTAGATCTGGTAGATAATATGAATGTTCAATAGATATCAAAAAGTTAGATCTCTCAGAAGTTAAACTCATAATCAGGTATGATTTGGAGAAGGCAGCTGTAACTTTTTTTCATGAAGGGCTCATGATTGCGATCCCGTAATATTTCTGGAAGATATAAACATACAAAGTTGTTGTAGGGGAAGACAATGGTGTAGATGCTCCATGCTTTAGCTGACTCAGTGGACGGCTTTGTTGGAATTTAGAGAGGGAGGATCGAGGGCTTAAGCCTTTATGAAGGGGTAGAAGTCATTTTTGATGTGTTCACGAGACTTAACACACAAATGGTTGGTGGGATTGTCTGCCATTGGGCTAAAGGTCCCTTGGCACACATACATCCTGTTAGCGTTAAGTTCTAAACCCACAACCATTAGTTCAACAAACTCAATTAGCACCAACTGAGGCCAATAACACTCTGGGAGTATCCAGTCAGAGCGTTTCTGTTTCCCAATGGCTTGCTTTCGGATGCATGCTAATGCCGTTGTCTATTAATCCATAACACATGGATTGAATAATTGAACTTGTTTTGCTTCTACTTGAATAATCTTGGGCCTACCACCAGTCTGTAGTGAGCCAAACTATGGCAAACTGAACTTATGTTTTCTTGGAGACCAATGATTGCATTCATCAGTCTATGGTACGTGGTTAGTTACTATTGTTAAAGGGATCAATTGCTAATCAAATTCCGAAAGTAATCTGATTAAAGATTACATTTAAGAACTAATTAAGGAACACTAATCTTTTTTAGATAGTATTGAAAAGCCTGTCCCAAGTTCAAATCCCTTTTACTGCTGCATACTTGCATTGGCTAGATTCTGATAAGTTTTACATTTTGCATGCGGATAAGCTACTACTTTCATCAGTCAACTTTGTGTTGTATGGCTAAGAGCCTAAAAACCAAACTAGAAAAAAAATGCATTTATACACACACACACACACACACACATATATATATATATATATATATATTTTTTTTTTTTCTACTCTCCAACAATATGAGCTAAGCTAGCTATATGAGCTTGGTGCTTGGTTTGGGCCAAATATTTACCTATGTTAATAGGTCAAAAGATAGGCCTTAGTATTTGGCATTATTTTTATTTTCGGCTTTTAGTGATCAGAGGGAGAAATATATAAATACCCTATCGATGCCAGTTTTGGGAGCATGACATTTCTCTTTTCCCATTGTTCTTCAATTTCTTCACTATGGATAGATCATTTGATTGGTGAGATTCAAGTTCTGAAAATCTTAAGTAGATTGTTGAAATTCTCAAGATAGACGTCCATACACACGTTCTACACGTGATGGGACAAATTTCTATCTAAGGACAATGCAAACATTGAAGGGATCTATGTAAGAGAGTTGGGATCAGTGGTCCCTATAATGTATCAATATCTAACCCTTTTTGTATTATAAATTTTATTATATATATATATATATGTACACATTTGAATTCGACCCTTGTTACCAAAATTTCTGGATCCGCGATCGAATGTAAAAGCAGGCCTTAATATGATTCTAAATACTACTTCAAGTTTCTGCAATCAAGATAGTTCTTACTATTTTATCATTCAGTTACATAGTTACTGTTAAAGAATTATTAGTTTTTCCATTTCTGGATATATATTTACACATTCAATTACTGAATTACGTATATGTATATATATATATTAGTATTCTCCCCCCCCCCTCTCTATATATACATATACATATATACACACATATTGAATATCAAGGATTGTTAACGTAAGTTTTAATTATATTTTCATTATTGCCAAAGGTGGAATACAAGCCTTCTAATCCAGGGGCCGAAACGAGCTAAATTGAATAGCAAATAGTTCGAGTTTTGACTTGAAAAATTAATAGCTAAAATTCAAACTATATAAGCTCATCTATGGGGTCGAACTCGAAATCAATTAACTTGTTTTTCAGTTCGTTAACTTAAACGAGATTATTTTTTAGTATTCGAGATCGGCTCAAACTTGAAGATTATTAAGTTCGAGTAGCTCGTTAAAAGCTTAGAATTGTTAACTTACATCCTTAGACCGAATCAAATCTGTTATACGTATATATTACAAGTCATTGAGTGAGCCAAAAAATGACCCCTTATATTAGTGTCTTTGGAGTCAGGTTTCATATAGGGTCGGTTAGGATTGTTGTTAATCAACTTTTTGTGCAAGTATGGTTTACATAAATGACTCCAATTTACTTCACTGTAATAGATACACATCTTAAAAATCACAAAACCACATAAATTTATATAACTCTTATGAGAAATTGACTAAAGATACCGCAAGATTCCAAATTTTGATTTTCACAATCTAAAATTTTAAATAACCCAATCAAAGATAATAACTAAAATGGGTGTTACTATCCAAAACATAGGCAAAAACTTATAGAGAAAATCAAGAAAAAGCAAGTGATTGGAAATATGGAATGTTTGGACATGCAGTTGCATGGTAAATAAGGATTCAGTCAATGAATGTCTGATGTTTGGAGGGGCGATTGTTAAAAACTTAAAAAATGGTTTTGAAATCAAGTCTATTAAGTAGAAAGAAAAGCAGGGGGGCCTTGGCCCCCCAAAGTCCCTATTGAGCTCTGCCCCTTATATATTATTGCAGTTCTTTAATCGTGATTGTATTATTTTCATCATAAATTCAAAAATATCTTTTTATATCCATCAAATATTTAAAAAAGAAGCTAAGTAGGACCTTATATGAAACTGTAAGAAGTTTATGATCGTGAGATATAAGGTTTATGTAAGAGTATCACGGGAAAATGATTTGACAATTTTACGAAACCATTTAAAGATTATGGTTAGTCTTGTGTTGGAACTCATAGTCAGCCCTTATCTGAAGTGATTTGGTGCTCCCATCTGCATCTGGTATGAATTAACACCAATTGCAGGCAATACATACACAGTAGAAAGTGTATTTATGTTAAGTAATGTTTTTATTTTCCCATATTGAACTCTTAAACATGTTTACATGTCCTTGAATATCATAATTAATTAAGATACCATGTGGCCAACCCCCTTCCAGTTATTAACTTGTGTTTAATTAACTCACTGTTCATATTGCACATGCTCTCTCCTGTTCAGGAATATATATGATTATATACATAGAGAGAGGTTTATGGGAAACCGAAAAAAAAATGAAAAACACCCCTGTAACATTCATTTGAACAGTATGCATGTATGCATATAAGTAATTGAAACTGTTTTTTAGGTTTCTATGTACTTGTGCATTTTATGTACATGTTCATATCAAACAAATTGCTACAGATGAAGATGAACATATCAGGTGTTCCTCAATTTTTCAGGTTTTTGCGGTTTTTTCCTGCACCTGACATGTGTATATACAAGAATTAAAGTGTAAAGTTGATAAACTGTTATTTGACCTAGCTATTCTAGCTCTTCTGTATGATGCTATGTTACTATCATATCATGTCATCTTTCTAGACTCAGAGAGAGACGTACTGTTCCTCAACCCCATTTATTGTGTTTTCATTTTCTGAGTCTCTTACATATGGCACAAGAAAGAAACAGTTGTATGGTTATAAATTGTGGTGTTAGTTTCAGCATTTCTTGTATAGCATGTGTCTAGATAAGATGCTAGTTTAACTCTTATTGTCCTTGCTTGAATGTGGTTTCTTGTTGAGAAAATGATGGTACCTGCAATCTTTAAAATTTGCAACAATGACAACATTTAATGTCCAAATCCCTTGGTCAACCTCGCTCAGTATTACTACTACTGCCCAACTGTGTACATAATAAAAGTACTGGTCTGAATGCATAAGTATTGGCACACTCAATACGACATAAGTTTGATATTTGAACTTAGATTTCTGTAAAGATGAGAGAATATAGAGGCTTATAGAATGCATATTATAATATTTGAACTGAAAGTGCTAAGATTTAGAGTTGAAATTACACACACCCAGTTGAACCAAATGATATATGGTATGGTAGTAATCTAATTCAAGTAGGTTTCCTCTTAAGAAGAAGCTATAGAATACTTAAGGTCTATGGTGCTGAGTGTAAATGTAGTCCAAGTGAGCCTCTGCAAGAACTCTTCTCTTCAAGCACTCTTCATCTCTGCTTCCACACTCCTCCATGCCCATCACCTCCTGTAATTCATCAGTAAACACCATTAATTAATTAGCAATTAAGTTAAGATTTTAAGAATGGAAGAAAGTATAGTAGTTGAACAAAAAAGTTACATAGAAGGAGTTGATGGTTTGTAAATCAACAAGAGATCCCTCACTGGTGTTGATGGATTCATCAAGTTTCACAGTGGTTTCACCTGAAACACATAGAAAATGTTAATAAATAAAAGAGGCAAATTAAAGAAATTAAATGAAGGGGGTTTGATAATGACCTGGTGGTTTGGTGTCCAAGAAACGGGCGCTTGATGTATGGGAGAAGGAAATAAGGAGGGAAAGAAGGATGATGATCAAAGGAACACCACTATGGAAGCTGTGCTTCATTGTCTCTCTAATTAACCTTTGGCTATTGTTGTTTGTAGAAGAGAGAGAGAGAGAGAGTTGTGTGTATATGTTGTTGTTGGGAGTTGGGGTGGGGGAGGATGCCTAAGCTTAAATATATACATGCAAAAGACAACCCACTGCTTAGCTTTATTCACCCAGAATATGCCTCCCAAACAACTTGGTTTTGTATAATACTCCCTCACAAGTAAATGTTATATTTTTTGGGATAAACATTAAATAAGTGATTACTGGGTAGGAGTTATCACCTTTATTAATCTTACAGTAATCGGTCTCGACCCAAATATGAAGGCCCGGTTAAGATGTTATCAGAATCGATCGCGGGCCTAAATCGGTCCCACTTAATTTTTTTTGTTTTTTTTTAAATCGATTTTTAACGTATAATTTTTTTTTTTTGAAGAATTTGATCAATCAAACACACAAATAAATACGTTTTTTTTTTTATAATTAGGTCAATCAAATACATTAAAAATACATTTTGGTCTTTAATCAATACACTTAAAAATACATTTAAAGATAAATGTAAAAATATACTTAAAATTACAATTAAAAATAAATGTATATTAAATAAAAAAATGAGGTTGGTCTTGAGTCGGGCCTTGTTTTCGATGGAATATCATAACCGCCTAACCGGTTAAGAACCGTCAGGTCGATACCAATCCCAATCAGTTCCAGGCCAGTCGGTCCCGATCTTAGGCCTGGTTGGACTCATCTAATCATCCCAAATAAGGTATATTAAAATTATTTAACTTGGTTTTGGTTTTGGTTTCTCTAAAAAAAATCAATATATTGTAGGATAGAAAAATCATTGTTATGTATACAAATAATTTGGATTTGTATGGAGGAAAAGGCGGTTATGGTTAGTCGTTGTCATCATATATCGTGTGACACCATCATTTTTGCAATATCCTTAACATAATGTTAACATTAATGTTAGTAATAGAGTAAATTACAAAAAAATTTCCTTTATCTTGTTAATAATTTTAATTTCCGTTTCTATAATTTCGAAATTGACATATATAACAATAAAGGTGGTGCCTGATTGGTTTGAGTTTGGCTCAAAATATCAAAAGTGTCTGGATGTTCCAGGTTCAAATCCAAGGAGGAACAACAATCTCCTTGTGGCCACGAAGGTTCAAATGCGGTGACTCCGGACTACCTGTAAAGCAAGTGGTCGTCCTGGAATTAGTTGGCTCGCATAACAGATTAAATATCCCGGTTAATAAAAAAAAATATTCTTATAGTTTATAATTTATTATTATTTTTATCCTTAATTAATTTCTATTTTTAAAATAAAAGGAATCAAAACAGTAAAAAATCATAAACCATAAGAACAAAACAACAACAACAAATAATTTACTCAAAACATAATTACATATATATAATATAAATGTAAATAAATAGTTCCATAATTAATTATAATTATGGTTTAATATAGATGTAGAGAGAGAAAGAGGTAACAGATGAAAGAGTCCAAAATCCAAATCTTAGAGGAATCAGTGTGTGGTAGTGGGTGACACCATCAACCAAGTCAACCTTTTCCACACAACTGTTTCCCATCTTCCACCTCTCTTTTTTACTCTACATTAATTAATACCCACACAACTTTAACTTTTTTTAATTATATAAAATAATTATATATTATTTTTAAGTCTCATTTTTTTTCAAATAATAATTACCTTACTATTTTATTAAGCAAATTTAATAAAAGTCTTAAAGTCTTAAAATACTAAATGACCAAGATACCCTTATTACTTTTTCACAACATACTCTCCTCACATACACTTATCCTCTCACATTGAACCGATTTTTTTATAATTATAATTTTAAATTTACATTTTATACCCTTATAAATAATTAATTAATTTACTTTACGTCATTTACTTTTAAATGTTTCATTTTAAACTTATTTAAAAAATACATTTTAACAAGTTACATTTTTATTTTAACAAGTTACACCATTATAATTAGTTAATTAATTAAAACATGTTTAAAAAATATATTTTTATTTTAACAAGTTAGTCCAATATTGAATAGTTTTTGACTTAATTATATTATTATATATTATATATACTATGAAAAAATATTTTTAATATTTACGATTTATACTTTTATAGTTATTTATTCATATATTTTGGGTTAGGCTGTCCAAATTGCATTGTATAATATGTTCTCAATTAATATGTTCTTGGGTTTTTTTGAAATATATATATATATATATATATACATGTATTAATTCAACTTTAATCTGAGTTTCTGGACAAGAAAGAGGGTAAGCAGTTGAAATTTCATTCTAAAACTCATTTTTTTTTGGTCTTTTCATGGTTTATGATCTGTCAAATTTGTAGTTTTCTTTATTGGTTTTGAGTGTTTATCTTAAAACTCAAGTTTCTTGGTTCTTTGCTCTTGGTATAAATCGAACACATTTGTGGAGTCGTTTAAATATGTTGGATTTTAAACTGTCATACAATTTTTTTCATCGATAGACTGTAATTGGAACCATAACTCTTATTTATTCAAATTGTATTAACATGTAAAGACCAAGTGTAACCTATATAATCGTTAAATCTTTTCTTATAAAACCAATAAAACTTAAAAATGGTTAAAATTTATGACTCCCGCCGCATTGCGCGGGTACACAACTAGTATTTTTAATATTGATTTTCATCTATAGTTTATATTGGTTAAACGCTTTGTTTATTAAATTGCTTGTCATATTAAATATCTAAAATATCATTTATCTAATCCAATTCAATATTATTCAGTTGAAAAAACTTTAAGGCCTTTTTTGTTTTTTAGAAGAAAAAAAAAACTATTATCAGCCTCTTATGCTTGTATAAATTTATCTGTAAATTGAACAATATAATTTTATGATTGATAGAATATGCAATTTAAACAAATTCAGATATTTATTAGTTTAGATAAAAAAAAACAGTTTTATTGGTATAGATTTCAGACTTCAACACTACCTCTTATCAATCAAAAAATGAAAAAATACTTTAAGATTCATGGCCTTTTAAAAAAACAAACATAAACTAAATGTTTAACAAAAAGCTTCCATGTACGTATGCCCTCATAAAGCTTCTCTCCACACCGTGCCACCTTTAATCTTCATAAAGCTTCTATGTGCGGTAATTGGATCATCCCATTTTTGGTGGCGACTCCACCTCCTTTATCTTAACTATGCCCAACCCAACTCCATCCACACGCCATCTCCTACGCATCCTGCTTCTTATCCTTTTTTTATAACTATACCGCCCAACCCACAATCTTTATACACATTGATTCTTATTTGTATATTGTAACTTAGTTTTTTTCCTTAATAAATATTTAGTTATTAATATGGCTATGTAAAACCAAAAACTAGTATTTTTTCTATATATTGACAAAATTCATCAAAAGATAACGGAGGTCGTTTATCAAACGTTTATCGAGTAAGCATTACCCGTAAAAATATTTTCTTTCACTTATCGGGTAAGACTTTTGGTCCTTATTAGGTAAAATTCTTAGTATTTTCAATACTCAATGGGTAAGATAAACGGCATGTTAGTTTGTTTTTAGCATAACAAGCACTTTTTTTTGCTCAACAATATAACAAATATTAAATTCTTTTTATTTTTTATACTCGTTTTAGTTTATTTGTCATGTGGTTGATTTTGATATGAAATCTTGCTATGTAACCAATAATTAGAATATAATTTGACAATTAGATTAAGATATTTACGTAATTATTAGTTAGAATAGGTACGAAATAAAAAAGAAATTGAAAACTTATAAATTAGGAAAGGGTGTCAATATTTGAAGGGGCATGGAGTGGTATTGTAATAAAAAAAAAAAGCATCTTTGAATGGAGGTTAAATTCGACCAAATCGTATCTTAGTGCTATGAACGCGGATGGATGTGTTCCCAATCACCACATCCATTTTTATACTTCCCACCACTTATATACTTTCCATTTATTTATCTTTTAATTTTTTTTATTCTTATTAATTATTAAACTACATTAATATACATATATATGTATATATATAAACTAGATGAAATTGGATGGTTTAATTTGTTTGTAGATGTTGTGGTGGTAAAGTTTTTGCCACTTTGGTGATGACATAATTGAGAATCGGACACGCGTAAAATATGGAAAGTTGAAAGGAATAGAATATAAATAAGCATCATATGTTATTTTAATAAAGATATGCTTCACTTTAGGCTTATATCAATCTATCAACCCCATGTTGGAGGAATCAATTTATTTAAAGAATATGTTTCTATTTCGGTGCTGCTTTTCATTATTAACATTTCTTTTCATCATCACTTAGATATTTTTATTTCAAATTTTAACAACTCGATCACATCAGTCACACCATTTTCAATAAATATGTTATATTTTCTTTTTAAATGACTGTTTAACATAGATATTAGAGTAAACAAATTTTTAAAATAGCATAATTGTTGGAGATGCTCTTAGACTGATTGTTTCATATGACATTCTGTATTGTAAATAAGATGGTGAAAAAATTGACTGAAAGTTTTGTATTGAAACAAAATGTGTTATTTATGTATAGAGATTCATTTTAAAGTATCATTGTGCATTCTTCAGATTATGACCTATATTGACTGTTAATGAATTGCAACTGAACTAAAAAAACATGATTTAATGGCTTGAAAGAGCTATCTTTCTTGTTTTATGCTTTTATTATTACGGCGTAATTTTATTTTCTTGGGGGTTATGATCTTATGTTCAGTAGCTAGCTCATCTTTACACATATAAGAGCAAAAGAATTAGGTAAGAAGCGTATTTAGGTCTTAAATCCGATAGTTGCCAATGTCTATTGAGGCATTCAATGTATTTTCAACCACGAGAGAATAATCATTGTTGGTACTTGTTTTGTTCCAAGAAATATGGTTGAGGTATTGGGATGTGGCGGAATATCCTATCTGTCCAAAGTTCGATTCCAAACGTAAACAATAATTGTGGTCTTTAAGTTTATCAAAGCTGATTTCTTGTAGTCAAATTTATCATGAATGGTCTAACCATAACCTAGGACACCCTTTCAATTTTTTTTTTTTTTGC